GAGTCCAGCACCAGTCGGCGCCTGAGCTCTGGAGAGCTGAGCGCCTCTAGCGCCTGAGAAGTTTGCTCTCCAAGCGTCTGGTCTCACAGGGCAGGGATGGGAAGGAGTCTTTCCGGGTGGAGGAGGTGGTGGGGAGGAGTCTGGGTGAACTGCTGACTGCTCGGCACCAGCACAGTCATGGGTCAAGACTGCTCCCGACACCTCCATCCTGGGACACGGGCTGTGCATCCAGAAACTCAACCCAAGCTGCTGAGACACCATCAACCCCACTCACTTCCCCAGACTGCCCTTCTGGCCGCTCTGTGGCACTCAGAGCCACGACTGTTCTCACGCTGCTGTCTCCTGCTTCCCTTGGTTTTACTGTGGTCACTCATCTCTCTGCAGCCCTATTCTTATTAGCAATCACCTCGGGACTGCCATGAAAAAGTGTTTCCCTGTTACCTCACACATACAGCACTTATGTTAAAACCACAGAAGATGAATTCTGTAAATAAATGTTTGAGGAATGTTTGTAGCTAAATGTTCTTCTTTCCATGTGCATGGATGGCATCCCACGGACTGCAAGGTCTGTGAATCTGACCACACAGCACAGCATGGCTACGTAGCTACACATTCTCTTTTCCACGTGCATGGCTGACATTCGTGGACTGAGGTCTGTGAATCTGCACAGCACAGCGTGGCTACATGTTCTTATTTCCACGTGCATGGCTGACGTTCCGTGGACAGCGAGGTCTGGGAATCTGACCACACAGCATGGCGTGCCAGCAGCAGCTGAAGGACGGCCGCAGCTGACAGCTCTCACAGCTGCCCAACTCGCCCAGCTGTGCCTCACCTGCCTTTGCCAGCATCACCAAGGGCTACCATGTAAGTCATTCTACTAACTGGGATGTCCATGGGACCAACTCCTGGCAATAATTCAACTAGAATTCAATGACAATCCTTCCCCACTGAAATTAAGTACCTAACATTTTACGTGTAGGATTTTGTAGGAATTAGCAAATGCATACACAGCAGGAATTTAAACTCTTGATTAAGAACCTAACTAATTCCCTTAATGGACAAACAGATCCCACTCTAGGTCCATTTTAGCTCAACTTGTTTCTCTAACTCAGCCGGCAGCTTAGTCATTGAACGATGGGGCCCCACACGCTTTCAAGTACAAAACAAAGCTATGAGCACACTAAGACCAAAACTACTGACAAAAGGTAAGCACAAGAATGAAGACACAGTCTACCGTTCCCTGCTTTCAACAGTCAGGAGCTACCGTCCTTCTTATTCCAATAAGACACGGTCTGCTGTTCCCTGTTTTCAATAGTCAGGAGCTACCGTCCTTCTTATTCCAATGAGACACAGTCTACTGTTCTCTGCTTTCAATAGTCAGGAGCTACCGTTCTTCTTATTCCAATGAGACATGGTCTACTGTTCCCTGCTTTCAACAGTCAGGAGCTACCTGTCCTTCTTATTCCAATGAGACACAGTCTATTGTTCCCTGTTTTCAATAGTCAGGAGCTACCGTCCTTCTTATTCCAATGAGACACAGTCTACTGTTCCCTGCTTTCAATAGCTGGGAGTTACCGTCCTTCTTATTCCAGTGGAGCGTCTGTCATGACAAACGGAATTACCTAAATGAAAAAAACTAGAATAAAATGACATGGTATCTTTGCAGTATAATAAACTGACTCCAAATTTGATATAAAACAGCATGTCAATTCACACAAGCCATTTGGAATTCTTAAGAAATAACTATTTTGAAATCTGTGGTTCTCTAAGACTTAAGGCACTTAAATACTTAAACGAGAAGCTAAGAACAATCTGTCTCCTGCGGCTCCTGTTTCTTATCAGAGCCTAAAACAACTAAACAGAAAGACAAGCGCACCCCCCTTTAGCACTTCTCATATTCCCAATGCTTTCCCTCATAGAAACTCACTGATTCACCGCCTGCCCAGGTGCTCTGGGACAGAGGGGCACAGGCAGGAAGCTGCTGGCCCCATTCTCGGCACATTCGCGCCCCCATGGAAATGCTGAAGAGATGACACCACTATGGGTTGAGAGTAAATCTGACATCAGAGACATTAATGGATTGGCTATTTTTCCAACATTTACACAGACAGCAATCATTTAAAGATGACTTCCTCTGGGTGTCATTTTCACCAAGCCACTATGCCAAATAAGGCAGCTCAAGCAGATATTTTCATAACACCGACCCCACTGGGATAGATATTCCCAAGGACAGAGTCACTGAAAGAGATTTATTACAAGAAATGTTTCCTCCTAATGGGATGAGAAAACAGAATGGCTCGGGATGATGACCTCCCCTTCAAAACAAAGTCAAGTTGAAGATGAGAAAAAGTTCTGCAATTCACCCCAATCCTAACAACCTGTGTTGTACAACAAAATTATGTTTTGATGAGGACAATCAGTGGCAAAAACGGCTATGAAGTCTGCTCAGAGCCTTTGCTAAAGAAAAATGTCTTACACAAAACATCAAAAGAACTTAAAAACTCAGACACAAAGAAAATTTGTATTTTTCCTTATAGATACAGATTAATATTAAGCAGGCTCCAAATTTGATATCTTCTCATAAGTTCATTTAGATTTTTTTTGTTTTTATGACCCTGGACTCCCCAGAACTACCAAGTTTTGTTTTGGTTTTTTTTTTTTGCCTCAACTAACACAGTTTAAATCAAACAAACATCAGGCCTGAAAGGGGTGGCCAGATCTATGTGGGGATTTACACAAAACCCACATCGAAAAATAATTAATTACAACAATTAGTCTGTCGTTACTGCAATGTGATTTTCAATTTCCATGAAAATGAAATCAGGAGCACCCCTCCGTTCCTCAAATTCAATGTGTGAAAAACTCCATTGCCCTGACCCTGCAATTCCTACATACACAAAAACCTGCACATCAATGTTCACAGCAGCATTCCTGACAACAGCACCATTCCTGACACCAGCCAAAAAGTGCAAACAACCCAGATGTCCATCAATTGATGATGGATCAACAGAATGTGGGCCATCCGTACCTCGGCATATCACGCAGCCATGAAAAGGAACAAATGCTGGGGCAAAAGCTACAATGTGGGTGACGCTACAGGGTTCCACTTAGAGTCAAGGTCCACAACAGGTACATCCACAAGGACGGAGATGAGTTGGGTGCCGGGACTGGAGGCTGGGAGAACGGAAAGTGACTGTTGATGGACACAGGGCTTCTTCTGGGGGTACTAAAAAATACTCTAGAATTAGTCTGAAGTGATGACTGTACAACCTTGTGAATGTACTAAAAACCACTGAGACGTATGCTTTAAAACGGTCAATTTTATGGTATATAAATTAGATCTTAACTGGAAAAAAAAAAAAGATCAACTCAACCTCTCTCTCTTCCCGCCATTCTGCCATCTGAATCCTAGCAATCTGTATTAGGTAAAAGTCAATTTTTGTGGAAAACATTGTTTTCAATGTTTCAGATAAGGTAACGAGTCTTCCTAACAGGAAAACCTTTGTTCAGTAGACAAATCAACATCGAGTTGCTAGGAAAAAACAACAACTCAGACGCAGAAGCAGAAAAAACTGGAGATCTTCCTAGTAAGTAAGGAAAACACATGCTTTACAACTCCACGCACAAAGCTAAGTCTGTTTGCTTCTTTCTTTTCTCCTTACTGTAGTAACTGACAGTCATCTGGTCACTTACGGATGAAGGGCACACAGAGGCTCTCCGGGGAAGAGGGCTCTGAAAGGCACACTGGGCAGGCCGAGGGCCAGGCGGGAGGGCGCCTCAGAGCCCTGCAGGAGAGAAGCCCCCACTAGGAGTCCAAGTAGGACAAAGAGGGTCACATTCTTCTAGATCTCAGAGGAAACGGGCAGTGCGTCATGGACCCCGTGGAAGCTGTGTCCTGCCTCTGCATCCTCTAGCCCAGCAATCTGCCTCTGAGAGCCCATGTCCAGACACGGATCCAAGAGACATGAAAAACAGCAGGCCAATGCTAGTTTCAATAATGAAAGCTTACAGGGAGCCATCCCTGGAAAGCATCCAGACCTGATGAAATAAGCAAAACTGGCTAAAAGCGACTCTGTCCATCTGCACTAACATGGAAAGATTTCTACCATGTAGGGGAAAGAAGTGAGTTATAAAATCTTATGAAATGTGCACAAAAAAAACACACAAAAGGTTTAGAGATCTCAGAATGGTGGAATCACAAGTTATTTTCCCTTTAGTCTTCATTTTTATACTGTATT